GTGGTGCAATGTGCACAAACCTCACTGTACGTTTTTTCGATCTGTAAGATGTGAAGTTGTAATTAACAGCTTTACAGGCTTTTTATTTTTTCCTTTGAGAAGCTGCAGCTGTTGATGTTTTACAAAGTTCTCTTGTTTCTCTTTGATGATTGCTGTCTGTTAATGTTAATGGGTGTGCCAGGCTGTTGGAGGCCGATGACCAAGATGAAATTTCTGTTGAGGCATACTGGGAATCTGAGAAATACTCAAACCTTGCCTGGCTTTGTTGCCTTTAGCTGCAAGGCGACTTTAGGAAAGTCAAATATGAAAACGTGCTGCACTGCACTTTTTAAACCTTCTACGTCCTAAATTGGAGAATCTTACCACAAGCTTCTGGTATTCCCAAAACTGAGACTGGGCTTGATAAACAGTCATTTAGCAGCTGTACAAGGATATCTAATCTGAATTGGCTTCAGTAGGAGTGGTGGGGTGTGGAGGGAATAGAGGCTGCTTATTAAAGGGCAACAGCAGCAAATACCAAGCATTTTTCTATACAACCTCTGGCTGGAGTCCAGCTTGTAACATTCCCTGGACAACTGGCGTTGAGATGATGTGAAGCATCTAGAGAGAGAAATGAAGGAGCTCTAAAGCAGCCTTGTAAATAGTAAAGCCAATTAGTGACTCTTCTGCGCTAGTCCTGAGTATCAGTTCTACCTCTTCACTTCAGAAAATTAGCCAAGTGATTAAGGCATCCTTTTAATTACAGGTCTTGACTGTGAGTATCTGTTAATTTGTAACTGGCAGAAGATCTGCTCAGTTGTGTCTGAGAATAAGTGTCTCTTCTGTTCTTTGCTGTTGTGAGAAGGACAAAAGAGTGTTGTTGGGGCTCTTACTTACGCAGTTACTTTCTCCTACGGACAACTCAAGTGCATAGTTTCATGGTTTGGGCCTTTAAGTGGCTGCTTTGTATGGAACTGGCATTGCCAGCTGCAGGACCTGGGAGGAGCAGGTCGGGATTCCTGTGTCTGGTGAAATCAGACACCGAGAAGAACTTGCCAAGGTGGTGGGACCACTTCTCCTTTGCAGAAGGACTTTCTGCTTCTGGATGAACTTCTTGTCCCAGATGCTTGTTGGTGATCAGGAATGATAGAAATAGACTGAAACTCTTAGGGCAGAGGAAAGATTTGAGTGATCCAGGCTCCCAGTGTGGAACATACTGGCTTGTTTGGTTAGTTTTCAGTAATTTAAGTCACAGAGACAATCTGTCATGGGATAGATGACACTAACTGCATCTGACCATCCTAATTCCAGATGCTTATCTTCATATTGTTAGCTTGCAGCAGAGACTTTGTGCACAGGTAGCAAGAAGAAGAAAAGTCTGTCTTTGGAATTTCAAAGCTTGCTTTGCACACATTTTTGTGTCCTTCTGTCTTACGGGACTCACGGCACTACGCCCTGCATAGCCCGTGATCTGCTATGAAATTAGTGGCTGGAAGGGTGCCAGCCCTTGCAGTGGGACTTCAGTTAACAACTTGAAACTAATTTGACTTCCCTAAAATCCAGAAACTTGTTTGCCGGTTCAAGAAGGCATGGTGGTGTTGCCTTGTCCTGCCATACCGAGCGCTGTAACTATCACAAGAAGATGGGTAGATGTTTCAAACCTGCTTGACAATAAGAAAAGCAACTGTTTCACTGCTGTTTTCTTTTAGAACAGCCTTTCCCCTTAGGATAGGTCTTCCCCAGGCAGGCATTTGACCTGTTCCTGGAACGATGACTGCCATTACAAGTGGGCTGTATGGGAAGAGCACCCTGCTCTCCCAGAAGTCGGAAGATCACCTTCCATTCCTGGTTGGTGCCTGTTTGCTTCCCAAGCTGAGTGTCCTCTCCTGCTATGTTTGTTTTGCCCTTTTTCTAGGTGGCAATCTGTTCAGCAGAGGAAATGCCTCTTCTGTGCAAGGTTTGGGCTAAGGCTGCTCAGGGAAAAAAAAACCTGCAGCTGGCTGAGAAGTCAGTCATTAGTGTTTGCTAACCAGATAGGAGCGGAGATAAGTTTGCCTGAAGAGTGCTTTATTGAAAATGACACTATAGCTTTATGTGCAATGAATTCAAAACTGTGTAAAAATTTAAAGTGCTCATGCTAGCTGAGCTTTTTCTATTTTAAATGTGCTTGAAGGTGCCTCAAAGCAGAAGCTTTTCTGCTGTAGGGTAAAAGTGCTTTAACTCTAAATACTGTGTGAATTTGCCAGTGACTGTCAGATCATAAAATCATAGAATCGTCTGGTTGGAGGAGACCTTCAAGATCGAGTCCAACCATTCACGCTGCACTGGCAGAGTCCCTAAACCATGTTCCTCAACACCAAATCCACACGGTTTTTAAACCCCTCCAGGGATGGGGACTCCACCACCTCCCTGGGCAGCCTCTTCCAATACTTCACAACCCTCTCTGGAAAGAAATTCTTCCTGATGTCTGACCTAAATTTCCCCTGGCGCAACTTGAGGCCATTCCCTCTCGTCCTGTCATTCATAACATGGGAGAAGAGACCGACCCCCATCTCCCTACAGCTTCCTTTCAGGTAATTGTAGAGAGCGATAAGGTCCCCCCGAGCCTCCTTCTCTCCAGACTGACCAGTCCCACCTCCCTCAGCCGCTCCTCACAGGACAAGTTCTCCAAACCCTTCACTAGTTTCGTTGACTATTTTCTTTGACCTGTCTCTGTAACATGGTTTGCAATGGAGAGATCCTTCAGTTAATTGGTGGAATAAGCTTATAGCCCGAACTTGAGGCTATTGCTGAAGATGGTTTGCTTGCTTGGATGCACTGTCTGACATAGCCCATGGCTCGAGTTGGTACAGCGTTCCAATTCAATCTCAGAAGGTTTTCTTTCTCCTAGTGGTGGAATTGAGCCTGAAATAAAGGAGGTGAAATTCTGACCCTGCTGAAGTCATTAGCAAACTGCCATTGACTGAAGTAAGGCTCGTATCTTAGCCAGGGGGTTTCACTGTTTAATTTATGGTAACATATTAATTCACTTGTATTAAAACAAGGCTTTGAAAAAGTTAATCTTTAGCTTCATGATACCGTCTCCATTCCATAAATATTGTACATAGTGTTACTAAAAGCTTACCTTTTTTGGGCTGGTTGATAGAGGTAGAGGCTTTAATTTATTTTTATAATTCGTGTGTTTGCACTCCTGGGAAAGAACTAAAGTACGCAGATGTCATTATTTCTGTAAATGAAAAGGACTTTATCCTAAATCTTCTAATTCTTTTATGGTATGTGGCAGCAGACCTATCTAACACTGTACTGCAGGAAATAGTTGGCATACTTGTAAGCTCCAGGGAGAGGAGAACTCGGATGATAACATCCATTAGTGTTGCTTTTGAATGAGAACTTGCATAAAGACTTTCTCTGAAAAAAACCCCACTATTAGATTTAAGAACCCTTTAGCAAAAGGAATGTGTTGCGAGCGTTTGACCTTCCTGTGCTGCATGAAGCTTTACTGGTGTGTGTGCCAGAAAAGCTTGTTGACTGGTGGACTCTTCGAAACCTGTGTGTTCCCCTTCTAGAAGGTCGACATCTGGATTGTATTGTACTATTTTCTCTTCACTGGGTATGTCAGAGTAGATTTTCCTCCTTTAAAACTTTATGAACTTTGTTTCTGTAATTTGACAGAACAGACTATTTATCAAGTTTTAAAGGCGCCGCTAATAACGTGTTCCCAAGCTCTGATGACAATAAGAACAAATTGTATTGTTTTCAAATGTAAATGTGTATTTTGCTGAACTACCTTTCTTACTTCTCTTACCTGCTGGAATGGTTTAGCATTAAGCATATCTTAATACACATCTAGAAACAGGCAAGACTGCTTTTATTATTGCTTATAGTCATGAATTATGTTAATGTAAACACTGCAGTAAAAGGGAAACTAGAAGTAGACTAATTGGGAAGCAAGAATTGGCATCTGAGGTCTTGTCTTCTCCTTGTCAATCTTCACATTTGTCTTGTATGTGGTGACTCTGGGCTAGGTAGAAATAGGATTTTTTTTTTTTTTTTCCATTAAGAGTCAGTGTGTTGTTCTACTTGTAGCGGTCCCGAAGTGCAGCTGGTTTCTGTGTTGCTTATTGATGGTTTCTTGGCAAAAAGAAAACCCGGTTATCCATTAGCTAATTCTCAGAGTAATCTTTGTAACCAGCTCTTCAGGTATTACCTTCCAAGTTTTTTTCATGCAATGAGCAAAGCTAGCACAGTCAACAAGTTTCAAGGGAACTACCCTTGCTATCTCCAGGAAGTTTGGAGTGATTGAGTACAGTGATTTCTGAACTTCCATATTCTGTATCATTTTCCAATGATGTTTGTCTTCTCATGAGGAAAAATGGACCAAAAATGGTTTTAGACAGGCTAATGTAGCTGCTCTTGGAAGCAGATGCCATCAACAAACTCGTGTGTGCTGATTAATGGCCTAGTGTTGCAGGTCACAGTTCAGTGACTGAGACTGGGGTAAATACCCCACAGCTCGTCTGCAGAATTGGTTTATTAAGTATTTTCAGATAAATGTTTTCTCCTGCAGAGCATAAGGTTTGACACTCTTCGGGCAGGTCAAACAGATGAGCTGCTTCACCTGAAGCTTGTAACTAGCTCTGGTGGGCTTCTCTTCCGTGAGGGATTTGCTGAGCTGCCTCAGTCCCCATTACTTCTTGCTCATGGATGGAGAAATGCAGATACTGCCATCTCTTAGCAAGAGGTCACCTCTGCTAGAGCAGTTGTCCTGTGGGTTTCCATGCTTTGAGAGGATTAGAAGGTAAGAAGAAACAAGATTTGCTTTGGAGTCGTTCTCTTTGGAAATCTGGAGTAATATCCTTTCTGTAGATGCAAAGTTAAAATCTCAAGTGCTATATTGTCTCATTTTTGCAGATGTTAAGTGTAATGTGAGGGTAGGGATGCTTCTGAGCTGCCTGTCTGATCAAGAAGTGCAGGTCTGAAGGTACTAAATACTGAAGTAAATGTAGACTGGGGTATGCAACATGGTGGAGGAGGATATTTATGAAGACTGTAAGGAAATGTACTTAAATTCCCTGCGGTAAATTAACGTTTCCATTGTGAGTATCTTAGCTGAGAAACAGGCAGGGACACAAAATGTGTGCTTGTAATTCTTACAAAGTAGTTGGCTTCCGAGCTTTAATTTCTGCAGAACTGCTTTCACTCTTCCCATGCAAATACCCATAATAAAATCCTTTTTAGTTTCTTACATTTCAAAGTTGCTGGTGGCAGTCACTGTCTCACTGGAAATGGGATCTTTCTCCAGTAGTTTACTGCCATTGAATCATGGCTAAGTTAGACCTGGTAATAATCTCTTTGATGTGTGGATTTTTCCAAAGACCAGACTTGGGTTTAAAAAAAAAAAAAGAAAAAAGAAAAGAAAAAAAAAAAGCTGTAGTGCCATCATTTGTGATTGCTATGATGAGAACTTGGTCACATTTCCTGTCTAGAACATCCCATACGTAAACCTTGCAATAAATTCTGTCTAAACATGTTCTGCTTTAAATCGACCTCTCAAAAATGAAATGAGCATTTGCTGTCTTTATTGATCTGTGTGCTGTACCACTCTGCACTAATAAATTCATTTTTTAATGAATTTGTGTAGCCCTGTGGCCATAACTGTATTTTTAAACAGAGTCTTAAGAGTTTGAGATGAGCAGTGCAAAGAATCTGTTTAAGAAATTTACTGTGCTTTGAAACTGGCTTCTAAAGACGCTGAATGTTTCCATCAACTTGGTAATTCTCATAACCAGCTCTTGGAATATAAAATATATTAAAATGATGCTAAGTATAAAAGTGTGTTTATATATCTCATCATTTAAGAAAAAATAATATATATATCTCTACACTCTGAAAAATAGTCTCTGGCCTTGTGATCAAGGCAGAGGACAAATCTGTTTCTTGTTACTTGAGGTAACAAAGGAGTTTGGGCATATAGTCAGAAGCTTTTAATTAAATTAATGTTATGCATTATATCAGCATCTTAATGTTAGGGAGATCTTTAGGATGAAGAAAGTGTTTTAAACAAATACCTCGTAGTTCCCTGCAGCATCGGTGCTTTTGGTTTTAGATGGTTAGTGAATGTCTGTTGTGTAATCGAAGCCGTAAATGGAGTGAAATGAGGTTCCTAGAAACAAAGGATTGATAAGTTGTTGAAAATTAATTTTCATGGAATTGTCTGAAATGTTTTGCAGAGGGGAATCTGGTGCCGGGAAGACTGAAAACACTAAGAAGGTTATTCAATACCTTGCTCATGTTGCTTCCTCCCATAAAGGAAGAAAGGACCATAATATTCCTGTAAGTTGGGATATTTTCTGGCTTGTTTATTGCTCTTTTTGAAAACTACCATCTTTGCATTTAAAAACCACAACTTTTGTGTTAAAGATAAGATGTAATGTTATCCACATAATTTTGTCTCTACCATTTTCTCTTTAGTAGTGGCTGAAATGAGAAGTTACATCAAAATTTCCATGTTACCTGTTCTACTTCTGTTGTGAAATTAAAAGCTTTATGCAAACATTGTAATTGGAAACAGTATCAAAGCTTTCTGATGCAGGAAACCCCAGTTTTCCAAAAAGTTTGTGAACTTGGGCAATTCTTAGTGAATTTAGTTCCCACCAGGTGCGGTTTTCAGTACTATATTTGTGAACAAGCTTTCTGTTCTTTCAGAAATGAACTTGTAGGTGGGAAAAATCATCATTAAAAACTGCTGTAGGCTTGCTATATCTAGAAGTCAGCAGCTAATAAAAAGCTCAGATTTTATTCCACTACAAACAAGAGCATTTCACGTCAAAGAATCCTGGGTTTTTTGGTAACTTGTCACTAACTCCGATTTATGTAGAACTTTCTTCAGATTTACTGTCAGACTTCAAAATTTGCACTGAATTTTTAGTAGTGCTTTGCTTTAAAAAATATGAGTGCCTTTGAATAACTGTTGTTACGAGCATGTGGATCTCTTTGCAGTGAAGTATTAGTTCAACTTGCTACTATCATTAGTGCTGCTGTACACCTGCTTTGCTCCAGTAGTACTGCAGGGGTGCCCGGTGGTTGGAAGCTTTCAAACTGTATCATCTGACTTAGCAACAACAATTTCTGTAATTTCCACTGCCTGGCACTTACCATTAAGACATTCTTGAATGTGTCAATGCTCAAAGTCCTGGAAAAACAGGAGATGACTTTTGATCAGTCCGTGAAGAAAAAAGCAAGGATTTGAAGTGGGAGAGAGGAAGGATTGCTCTGTAGATTTGGAGAAACCTTGAGTGTACGCGGAAACTCAAACCTTTGCTTAAATCAAGGGCAAATAATGTGACCCTGTGCCTTGATACTCAGACTGTTGCTGGTTTGTCCCATGGAAAAGGTCAAGGTTAGTCCAAGTGTGTTGCAGGTTGTGCCCACAGCAGTCACGGCCTCAAAAGGCAGTTTCCTCTGGCTGGAGGGTCAGCAGTGTTAGGTGGGTTTTAATGGCCTTGTCTTGTGTGTTGGGAGAATATGTGCTCCGGGGAATGCTGCTTAGGATGTCGTCCGTCACACTTGGTCATGTAGGTTTTGATTTATCAATGTTCTTGGCTTTACCACTGTGTGACCTTGAACAAAGCCAGCATTTTTTTTTTTCTCTCCAATTTCTACAGGAGTAAAATTGCTTACAGCTTTTTGGGGGAGAAGGGAATTACGCAGAGAAGGGAATTGTGCAGGGTTTGTACCAAGTACTTCTAAATATTCTATTGACAACTTGGAATAGCTCAGGTTGCAAGAGACTTTGGGAAGCCTCTTGTCCAGCCTCCTTTCAAAACGTCCTTTCCTTCAAAGTTAGATTGCATTGCCCAAGACCTTGCACATCTGAGCTTTGAAAATCTTGAGGGATGGAGATTATGCAACTTCTCTGCAAACCTGTTCCAGTTTAAACCTTAACCACTTGAAGCCCTATTTTTGATTGTTTAAAAAGTACTCCATGTTTGTTTGGTCTCTCTCGTGCTATGTTTCTGCGAGCACGGCGTGCCGGTACCTCTGCTAAAAGAAGTACCCCTTTTTGGGCTTTGCCATCATAACAATTCCCGTGGCCACTCACTGGGCTTGGAGGCTGCAGGCTCAAAGTGTTCTTAAAAAGTCCATCTGGTTTTAAATAAGTTTCCTCTGTTGCTCATTGTGTGGCTGCAGAACTGTTATGAAGTGAAAACACAGAAGAGAAAGAGGAAAGCTGGGGTGGAAAACATCAGTGAAGGGAAGGACGAGTTGTCCTCTTTAATGCAGCGTTGGCTAATTCCGTTTAAATCGCTGGTTGAACTCTCTGCTTACCAGTGTGATCAAACGGGATGGTGGCCTTCATCTCAAAGAGTTTTGAAGGTGGTTGTTGTAATCAGCTGCTTCATGAACCATCAATATCTGTCATAAAGACTAGAAAAGTTTTTTTTCTTTCTAAAACATAGTTCAGGCACAGTAAAAAGGATAGGATAGTGTCCTGAAAAAAAGTCTGATACTCTAATGGAGCATTTCGTTCAGTACAGTGCCATAGCAAGCACTGAATTAAGCATATGTTTATGAAAAATGCAGAATGTTTGTGTAGCCAGAACAGTTTTGAAAATACAAATGAGTCTCCCTTGTTCTGTAAAAATTAATTTTTACTTATATATTGCAAACAAAATATCTAACCTACACACCTACCACTCCAAAGTTAGGAAGTGTCAGAAGTGGGGTTATATTTGCACTCCTAATATGTTCCTGTTTACATATTCATTAGAAAACCACAGAGGGCTGGTGCTGATCCATAGTACCCATCTATACCACCTTTGTGTTATTCTGTGCACAAAGATGCTAAATAGTCTTGTTAAATAGACTGCTAGGCATGGATTTATTTTTATCCATCCTGTTACAAATAATTCAGTGACACACCTGTTACCGAGACTGTTCTGAATGCTGCATGGATTATTTTTTTAATGAATCATAGGATCATAGAACCACAGAATGGTTTGGGTTGGAAGGGACCTCATAGATCATCTAGTTCCAACCCCCCTGCCATGGGCAGGGACACCTTCCACTACACCAGGTTGCTCAAAGCCTCATCCAACCTGGCCTTGAACACTTCCAGGGATGGAGCAGCCACAGCTTCTCTGGGTAAACTGGTCCAGGGCCTCACCACCCTCAGAGTGAAAAATTTTTTTCTTATATCTAGTCTAAATCTGCCCTCTTTCAGTTTAAATCCATTGCCCCTTGTCCTGTCACTACATGCCCTTGTAAAAAGTCCCTCTCCAGCTTTCCTGTAGGCTCCCTTTAAGTACTGGAAGGCTGCTATAAGTTCACCCCGGAGCCTTCTCTTCTCCAGGCTGAACAGCCCCAACTCTCTCAGCATGTAATGAAGCAATTAGTATTCTGCTGAATGAATAATTATCTTCCCAGCACTGTTCTGAAGTCTGTCTTACCTGACAGAGTGCTGTAAACATTACAAACAAACGTAGCCCCCAGTTGGACACCTGAGGCCACAGCCAGAGCAGCACTGGTGCTGTGCCGTGTCACAGATGCTCACTGCGTGGTTCTCCAGCAGCATGGTTTGTGAAATGTTCGGCTTATGCGAGGAGCATCGCGCAGGAGCCCTACCCATCTCTTGGACAGCCTCACATCTGGCATTCAGCTGGTTATCCATGAGACTTTTCTTTCTCAACAGCCTTCTTTCCTGGTGACTGTGTGCCCACAGAGGAGTCCTGCATAGCCCTTACCGAGTCATCCTCAGACAGGGGTCCTGTGGGAAATGGACTCAATAACACATGGAAACCACAGAAGGTGGAATTACAGCGCTCAACAACCTTAATACAAGCATTTCCTAGTTTTTGAGTGTTTGACTCTGTAGCCTCACTGTCTCATTTCCTGTTGAATCCTGAGGAACGTTCAACGTACTGTCTTGGGCACTGCACTAGGAAGTGTGGGTGGTGGTGGTGAAAATGTAGAAGAGAAGCTTTAGTAATTGTGGGGCTTGGCAGAGCTAAGTGGGACTAGGGTAGTCCCTCGAATTGGGAATAGAGACTGGGCCTTCTGTAGCCAAGTAGTGGGGAGTTAAGTTCTATAGTTAAGTTCTTAAGTAGTTCTAAGTAGTTAAGTTCTAGTAGTTAAGTTCTGCATCCATCCCCCCCTGCTGTCTCTGCTTCCAGTCATCCTGGTACTATGTACCTCTGGTTCAGATGAACAGAATTAGACTTTTGGTCATTTCCCCTCTCCCCAAAGCCTTCCCACCCCAAACGCCCTCTATTTTCACTCAACCCCAGCTTTCATGGTGGCACCGTTTTAAGCTTCAGAAATAATTACTGCTACTTGCAGGTTAATGGTAACTTTCAGTGGCTGCATTTGCCTTTGTAGCTGAAATCCTAAATTACTTAATTTGTTTTATTAATTTCAGAAGGAACATAATTGGTTTTGAAGTTCAGGGTCTTGGGTAGACTTGCTCAGACTGAAGCTCCTCTTAGTGAGGATTTCCCAGATGAGCTTTAAGTGCCCTAATTTAAACAGAGAGAAGTTAAATATGGGTCTGATTACGCTCAGCTCTGTTCCTAGCCAGGGCAGAAATGGGCACCCCAAGAGACCAGTTCATCTTGTCTGAAGATAGTATGTAGTGACAGGACACGGGGCAATGGCTTTAAACTGAAAGAGGGGAGATTTCGATTAGATCTAAGGAAGAAATTTTTCACTCTGAGGGTGGTGAGGCACTGGAACAGGTTGCCCAGAGAAGCTGTGGCTGCCCCATCCCTAGAAGTGTGCAAGACCAGGCTGGATGAGGCTTTGGGCAACCTGGTGTAGTGGAAGGTGTCCCTGCCCATGGCAGGGGGGTTGGAACTAGATGGTCTTGAACATCCCTTCCAACCCCAACCATTCTGTGATAAGCAAATGAAATGCCTCTTAGGTTCCTAGGTGTACCTGTCCTTTTCCAGTGATTACACAAGCAGTGGTAGCTTATCTAACCTTTTTTTAAATCCCTGAGCTGTTTTCCAAGCAGGTATGATGCAGCTTTGCAAAATTCACATCACTTAGCTGAATAAGCCAAACCTTTGCCAGCTGCTTTACAGAACTCTCAAAAAATCCGTTATTCTGCACTGAAACTGTGCTAGTTGTTTAAAATAATAGATATGAACGGAGGAAGTGTGCATCTGGCATGGTCTAACCTTTTTTTAAATCCCTGAGCTGTTTTCCAAGCAGGTATGATGCAGCTTTGCAAAATTCACATCACTTAGCTGAATAAGCCAAACCTTTGCCAGCTGCTTTACAGAACTCTCAAAAAATCCGTTATTCTGCACTGAAACTGTGCTAGTTGTTTAAAATAATAGATATGAACGGAGGAAGTGTGCATCTGGCATGGTATGAAAATTTCTTGGGGGGGGGGGGGGGGGGTTTTTTGATGGTGTTTTTCAACAATATTTTCCCCCTAGGCTCTCTGATGTGAAGCTCAAGATTATTAAACTTGCAGACTGAACCAAGGAACTAATAATGAAATTAAAAATTTCTGCAGAAACCGTGCAAATTTGAATTTTGAGGGAGTTTATTTTACTTTATTATATTCATCTTTTGTTTTACTGTATTACATCCATGTTCCATTTACCCTTCATTTCTGGCAAAATTTGAAGGTCTTCCAGTTTCTTAAGATTTTGCTGCTTCTCATGTGGATGGTTGTTCTTGAAAGAAACAAAGCTTTTGTCAAATTATAGGTTTGCATTTCTTAAATACCTGAAATACAGCGCAAAAAAAAACCCCCAGACTCCATAAGTATTGCTTTCCTCCTGGTTCTTTCATAACCTTTTTGATTTTTGAAGAATAATGATCGTCTTATCCATACAAAACCACCTTCCAGTGAGTAAGGCTGTAGAGAAAGTTACTTGCTGTTGTAGATTTGGTTTTGGTTGTTGGGAAAAACTGTGGAAAGCAGTGCACAACTTCTTAAAGTGTTGCCCTTTTTCCATGCTACTCAAGGTCCATGTGTTGTCTTGTGTTTTATTCGGAATTAGTCGTTTGCATGAACACAGGTTTTCGTATTTTGCACTTGCAAAGACGAGCAAATAACTTCTTTTCAAAAACTGAATTTAAACAATTTCTATGAAGTGAGTATGTAGCTGAACTAAACCTACTGACGTTAATAATTTGGGATGTAACTTGCAGCTGGAATGCTTGCTTGCTTGCTAACATGTGCATTTGTTTGTTTGCAATGGACAGCCCGAATCACCTAAACCCGTGAAACATCAGGCAAGTGTTTTTCTTTATGCTTTTAAAGTTCTATAGGCAGAACGATGTACATTCTTCTATTTTCTGTCGGTTTGCATTTATAATGTGGGAAATCTTGCCGAGCTATACCGCTAATTGTAAATATTTAGCTGGCTGTGAGAGATGGGACCCTTGAGCAGCTCACAAGCTCCTCAGCATTGCAGAGCACTTCTCCCCGCTCGGAAGTGGTGTTACTCTGTCCCGAAGCAAAAGGTTCACCCTCTCCCTGGATACGCTGGCTGTAGACATGGTTAATGTGCTGCTGAGAGTGCAGAACGCTTTTGATATCAAAGCACTCAATAAAAGAGCTGGGTTAATGGAAGCTCCCAAATTCTCTCGATTCACACGCTGTTTTGGCTGAATGTTTTTATAGCTTCTCGGTAACTTGATACAGAGTTTGACAGCAAGGGGGAAGCGCTTGGCGTAACCAATTGTCTCCTGAAATCACGCGTTTGCCCCGACTTTCTGGGCTAAGTGGTGAGAGTGACGTGGTGTCTGTTGGGAGTCGCTGCCTGAATCAGTGTTTGAGCTTCAGCTGCTCGTACCCATCAGGCTGGCCGGCCCCCCCCTGTTTCCCACTGCCCCAGCCCCTCTCTTCCCCTGGGCAGCAGCACCAGTCCCTTCTAGACCCCCTCCTTGTACGAGAGTGGGAATTGCAGCGCTCCCAGTGCCACGGAGCATGGAGAGGAGCGTTAGGTGGGAGTTGAGGGTAAGACTATGGAAAGAGATAAACAATTGCTGCCATGTATTATGCAAGATAAATGCTCTGCTCTCTCACCTGAGATGGGAAGTGATGCCTGTTTGTCATGGCACGGGCTTTTGCGTAAAGAAAAAGCTTTGCAACAGCTCTGTTGGCGTAACGGGCAGTTGGGAACAGAAGGAGCTACCATGAGTTAGTTTAGCCGACTGTGTTTTTCCCTTTACACTTTTCTGAAAGCTGATTGTAGTGCAACTTGAACCGTAGTGCAAAGGAGGAACCTCGGGTTAGGTGTGGTGCATTGGAAGCAAAAAGAAATCCGACGGACAGCTGTGATGCCTTTGCTAGTGTGTGGTGACTCGTTAAACCTCCGTGACCCAATCCTGCATCTGAGCCCACGGTCTCTGTTTCAGAAGTTACAGACATTCCAAGTGTTTAACCTAATCCTCCCTCCTTGCAAACCTCAGTCAGTTCTAAGGTTTTTTATTAAAATATTTCTCTGTTCCAAAAATAGATGGGGCAATGTTTAGTTTAACCCTCCTTTTGCTTAGAGTTAGCATGTCAGGGTTGAAACAAACCGTTTGTTGGCAAACATTTTAAATGTATCAGTGGAAACATGCTAATCCAGAAGTGTTGGTACTGCATAAACCATGATCATTAACATTTCTGTTTCGATGTCATTTTGAACTACAGAGTGGATCCCTGTTGTATGTGAGTAGCATGTAGCTCTCCCTGCCTCACCCAGGCTTCACAACGAACCCAGTCACTGGGTTGCTGATTTTTCTGAAACTGAGACAATAACCTGTCCTTATCTTACCGCTACCCTGCATGAAATATTGCATGACTTCACTTTTTCCACAATACTGCTTTTTCCAAGTTCAGTTTAGATGCCTGTAT